ACAATGATGTGGAAAATATATTACTTTTGAATTTGCTGACAAGTTTGGGTAATTGTAATATTAATTTCAGTGACTAAAAGAGATTTACCTAAAATTGAATTTACAACATAAAATTTGTTTTTAAACCCAAAAACGAACAAGTTGAAATGATATGAAGGGCTACATGCAATGCAGTAGCTTGGAAACATATCTGTGGATGGAGTGTAACTTAAAATTTTGTGCTGCAAATAAATGCAAGCTCAACCAATGAAGGGGATTTAAAGCATGGTAACCACCTTCTAACATTAGAAACAATTGTAACTATAATAATTCTTATAATAAGGTACATTTTAAGTTATATAAAGAAGAGGCAGGAGATTTGAGTAAGTAATCACAAAATATCTATCCTTTCTTTCAAAACAATTGATTACATAAAGTAAAGTATAACAAGTTAAAAAAGGAATATGATATTGTAGGAAAAGCTTTTAGGCAAAGAACATTTTTATGAGAAAAAAGATTAAATGGAAAAACTACTTGCTATCAAATATTATGTTGCAGAATATACAAAAGGCCTACCACTTCTCTCAAATCAAAGACGTTTCTCACACCAGACAAGTGCTCTACCAAATCATCTAAAGGGTTATCTTTCCTCTGAAAAATACTGCTAGAAAAGCACTTTTTAACAACTCAACATACCACATTTTTACCCTCGTACAAGCAAGACCCACTACTAATCCTTATCTCAAGCTCAAAGTTGGACATCAGTTTTTCTTATTTCTGTATCGAACCTGAAACATCCTAAAAAAGTGATCTATGAACTGAGCTAAGGGTTTAACCCATTGGAACTTGTTAGTATGACATTTTGTAACAACCCACACACTATGTTGTTTTGAGGAAAGGAAATCCACTATATGCTGTAAATAAATGTTGAAAGACACAGCTTTTGAGTGTAGTTTACTTTTATTTAACTTTTTTTTTTTGACCACTCATGTGACCATCATCAGGTAGCTGTTTCTATTTTATAAAATAGTACTTGAGCATTTTGTTCCAACTTAAAAAACATATAGGGTGACACCTGTGTTTTGATTTAAATTAGGTTTCAGTTCATGAATAGTTAATTCTTTTTTTAATTTTCTTCTATTATTGTTGTTCTATTTGGTGTGCTGTGTTCATAAATGTGTGATGGGGATTATGTTCTTTGATCCAAGTGCTTATGTTGCATCCCGTTTTGCCTACGCAAGTACTATCACATCGATACTTCCATCATTGAAGTTGTCAGAATAATTTTCTTAAGATTAACTTTGATTTTAGTGCTCAGTTTCTAAATAAAAGTAACTGCAGTTTATATTATGTTTTTTTTATGCTTGTTTCCAAATGTTTATGATTTTTTTGGTTACAGAGCTATGATACGGTAAGACACCTATTAGTGTATCCGAGTTTGTGCATTTTGCTTCCTTGATGGAGTTTTCCCTTTCTTTTTTTTTCTGTTGAGTTTGTTTTTATACTTGGCTAAAGTTCTAGTGACAATGTGTTTAGGGAAGTGACATTTGTTAATAAATATGCCAAATACTGATTCTAGTTCATGCTGCTACTACATATGTTAAATACTGTAAAAGCATGATAACATGCCAAGTTTTTGTTGAGTGAGCTGAGTCCTACTTTATATAGTTATCATTACCAGATTTGTGGAAGATTTTTATGTTAAAACTGTTGCAGCTTCTTTATATTGTTGTTTTCATTCTATTCTTCATGAGTGAATTTGGTGTTAGAGTGAACGTTACTCATGTGTTGTAGAAATGACTGTTGACAGTTGTTGTCTTCAGTTCCACAAAATACGTCGTCAACATATCTAACCCAGTATGTGTGAGGGTGTAGAGCTATGTTAGTGGCACAAACATAGCTTTTTTGATAAACAATTCACATAATCCAGATGACAGAGGGATGCCCATGCTTAGGCCATCTATTTGTTCATAAGTTTTGTCTTGATAGGTGAAATATATTTTTAGTGCAAAGTGAAACAAGTTTTTCAAAATTTCCAAGCCCAGGTTGTAATTTTGGGATATCATTTCTAAAGCTAGGGTTGTTGCTTCATATTTTGGTATCATTATATCCATGGAGACTTTGTCAAAACTGTACATTTTGTGATGATTAAGTTTTTGAGAAAGTTTCAAAATTCTATAACACCTTTAACCTTGTATTTATTGTTGTCATTTGATGGTTTGATCAGAAAATCTAGGAATCATGCAAGTTCATGGTTATAGCTGCTATAAGTGGGTTTTTGAGAATCTTTGGAGCACCGAAAAAACAAGGGGTACGTGCATTGGTGACTCGTAAGTTATTATACACGTCTTCTGTGATGTCATTGTTCTTTTTTAACTTCAAGACCAGGCTATTCAGTTGTCTTCCATAACATTCACTAAGATTTTATTTTTAATAAGTTGTTGTAATCTTCTGTTTCCATAATTACGGTTTTACCCTCTTTGTCAGCCTTGTGAATTATTCTGCAATTCTTTTAGGGCCGATATTTGGCATTTTGCTTAATTTTAGGGTTTTTAAATAGATAACCTTTAATTCTTCAAGATATTTCATATAAGAAATTTAGATTTTGATTGTCATTTGGTATTTTAGGAAACTATATTCTGTTTTTCTTGCCTTCAAATGTCTTTACAGTTCCATTGTCCTTGTTCTTATCTTGTTGATCTTTGTTTCTTTAATTTCGATAGATGAGGTTAATCTTGTTTACCGTTTTAGTTCTTAATTTTTCTCCGATTGTTTGCTGGACTAATTTTTTTTGGTAAATCTTCAATTCTGGCTTTGATCTCTAAGGTAGAAATGTTGTTGCGTGTTATAATATAATTTAGGCCTCTATTTAGAATCTCATCTTGTGTTGGTGATAGGGCTGTCTTTTATTTTTTTGTGATGACGTGTTTACTGTCTATCTTTTTCCTTCTTTTGATTAACTCAACTATGTTTTTAATATGTCTAATTTCTATTTTATCTCTTTGGTTTATCCAGTTTCGTTTGATAACTCCTAAAAGCATGAGCAAGTCATCTGACGTGGTGTTGAAGTAGGTTACATAGTTTTAAATCTTCTTTTCCCTTTTTCCAATTATGGATTGAATGGTTTAATTTTATAAACTTTGAAATGAACTTTTGAACTGTTTGCATCTTTTTAGAAATCTGGGGCTACAGATGGTTTTCTCCAATTAATGATGACAATGATATGGACAACCATCACCCATATTACATTTAAAACACATAATGACCCTGATATTGACAACTGTCACCTAAATTATGTTTAAACCACATAATGACTCTGATATGTACAATTAGCATGGAAATTTAAAACACATAATGACCCTTATGTGGATAACTATCACCTAAATTCACACACCAGTTTAGTATACACTCATGATGTATTTACTATAAATTTTCTATAAAATGTAAGACTTTTATTTAACTATCAGATACTAGTACACAATTTTTAAGG